TTTTTATTTTTTATTTTTTATTTTTTATTTTTTTTTAAAAAAAAAATTAAGGAGCAGCAGGATCAGCGCATTGCTATGTCGTAGTCCTTGCAGTGAAGCCTGGCCCCCCAGCCGCTGCACACGCAAATATCTCAGCGCCCGCTCGTCTATACAGCGTCGCTCTTGAACCAAACGGACCGCCAGAGCGTAGCAGTCCTCCAGCCCTGGAATTGCATCGATTTGGCTCCTAACCGTCGAGATATTCGCGTGCGCGGCGCCGGGCACTTATCAGATGGTAGTTGTGTAATCACATACGATTTCCCGAAATTACTCCGCAAAACGACCCCACGATAAGTTCTGCTTATCAACCACGTTACACTAATTCAAATCAATGAACCGAATACACGTAATGTGCGACATAAGCACCACTGTAATTGCTACAATAGCAGTTATTGAGAACCCTCCTTGCAGGTGAAAGTGGAATGCGGGGTATGTACAGGGATTATCAGCCAATGACAATGCGAAACGTCCAGTTTCATCGAAAGTGAATGAATCCATAGAGATGTAGGTAAACTCTTATGTAAATAGCACCTGAGCAAGATAGCTTTCCATAGCCTAATGTAACCCTATCCAAACCCTAGCCCTCCTGAGCTCCAACACATGAGAACGTGTTAGGGGAAACGTTTTGTTTTCTGGTATCGTGCCTGCAAAGCCAAAGCTTGTTAAAAGAGATGGGGGAAGAATAAAAGGAAAGGGAAAGGCTTTAGGCAACGCGTACTTACTGGCCAAAACAGAGGCGTATAGGTGGAAGTGTTCTAACACACCAAGGTCCCTAACAAATGTTTGTTTTGGAAACTCTCGAGTATCAATCATGATCAGTTGTATTTCCGAGAGGCAATTGATAGGGGGGCATGACGAATTGATACGCGGGCATGATCCTTAGGGGGGCATGACTTTTTGTAACACCTGATTGGTCAATTTCGTTTTTGTTAGTGTCGGCAGAATTCTGTCAGAGCTTTCTAAGTACCTCGTGTTGCATATGCCTCTCCCAGATTGTCACACGAGTGCACCACAAGAGTCAGAGGGGTGTTACAGATCTGTTGCAGGTTCGGCAGGTCTAGTATCGTAGCCTCTCCTCGTCAAATATAATGAGGACGAAGAAGACGAGGGGACAGGGATGAATCAATCAATAATCTATTCTTCATCTTGAAATCATCATTCATCTTGACTTACCACCCTCGTATCCGACACCTCGAGCTTAGCTCGCCCTTAATCTTACCTTGGTAACCAATGCGACGCCATCAAGTTTTCTCTCCATCAGCAAGCTATCCACTCCTGAGTCTCTCAATCCTCGATGATTAGAACCTTCACCACGTCCCAATCTGAGCCTCCTTCCAGCTCAGAGAGCAATCCGAGATGCCGAACTCGCAGTCCTAGTCCTAGCGATCAATTGCACGCCCGAAAACGACGGCGGCAGAGCCGACAATCCAGGTTCAGCCCGCCGTTACTCGCGAATAGACCTCGCTCAGCGAGCAGCATTGGAACAAGTATCAGCCAATATTACGGAGTCGGCGACGAAGACACACTCGGAAATCTCTTCGCATCTTATCCACAGACCTTTTCAACCGCTCCACAGCCCCATGGATCGCAAGGGCTTCATGAGCCACCATGGGAGCTCCGTTTCGATTACGAGATACACCTTTCGAATGACTTCCTAACCCAAGGAAGACGGCAGCAGCGAGTCAGAATCCCTATACCAGGGCCAGAAACCGACCCACTACCTTCCTCCTCTCCGCCTCAATCAGCACGGGAGCAATCGTCACCCACAAAGGCCGAGTTTCAATCTGCCCTGAAGCTAGTACGAGAAGTGATTGGGACGGATCGGAAGCTTACCCTCGAGCTCGCTCGGTCATACGAGCGAGTACGCCAATGGCGAGAGAAATGGGGTTACTCGCCACTCAGTTCAGATGCGCTTGAATCGCCTCCTCCCTACTCACCGCCCCGAGAGTCGCCCACCCAAGCAGTATCCCCTCAAAAGATCAGATCTTCTCCTCTTCGAATTTCCTCGTCCCCTGCCCCCGACCCGATCCCGAACCCACCGATCCCAGGCGACCCAGCGCCGTCAGCCGAAGCTCTATTTGACTTGATAAACACCTTTGCGAAAGAGAGTGGCTTTGGTATTGTCCGACGGAACGCCTACTCATATAACGGTCGGAGGATGAGATATTCCTTCCAATGTGACAGATACGGAGAACCACGGCCTAGCAGAGGTGTAGGTCTTCGGCAACGGAAGTCCCGGAAGTGCGGATGCAAGTGGATGGTGATAGCCGAGGCTCTAGAAGAGGGCGAGTGGCTCCTACGACAACGCCCAAACCCGGAACACGGTCAACACAACCATGGGCGTGGTATTAGACCGTCTGCGCACCCTTCCAATAGACGGCTGACTACACCCATCAGGGCAACCATTGAGTCGACAAGCCGTCGGGTCGGTATCCGGGCCCGTGACGTACGGGCTGTGGTCCAAGAGCAACACCCCGAATCAACCTTCACGCAGAGGGACATCTATAACGCCCGGGCTCTCATCAATCGAGACAAGTTGAATGGCTACACTCCCACTGCAGCACTGATCAAGCTATTTGATGAGATGGACGTTCCTTACGTCGCTAAGTGGGCGGATGATGAGCCAAGCCGCCTCGTTGGCCTTGTCTGGACCTTTTCCTACTGTCTCCAGATATGGAAGCGGTTTCCCGAGGTCATCAGCTTCGACAACACATACAATACCAACCGCTTCAAGCTTCCGTTATTCCAGGCAACAGGACAGACTTGCCTTGGTTCTGTCTTCAATGCGGCTTTCGGTCTGATCGACAACGAGAGACGGGAGGGGTTCCAATTCCTCTCTGAGAGTATTCGACAACTGGCAGAGCAGCACTCCATTTGCCAACCGGACGTCATCGTTACCGACTTCGACGATCAGATGAAGGCCGCCCTGAATGATCAGTTCCCTGATGTACAGCAGCAGCTCTGTATCCACCACATCAATTCGAACGTCCTGCTCAAATCAAAGCAAAAGTGGGTCAAGGGCCGCAGTAGTAGCAGTAGTCCCGACAGCAGCGACGAGGATAAGTCGGCTCCACAGGTACGGGCTGAGCTTAGTCCGAAAGACCAACAGTTAGTCCACGCGTCGACATCTGAGGACATCCCTCATAGCTATCGAGGGGTTCTCATGATGTGGAAGCTCGTCTTGTTTGCCGAGACTGAGGACGCTCACGAGAAGGCGTGGAGAAACCTCTGTAGGGAATTTGATGACCAGCGGGCTATCCTCCGGTATCTCCATGGAACCTACATGCCTGTAAGGGCCCAGTGGGCACGCTGTTTCATCCGCAAGTATCGCAACTTTGGCATCCGCGTCACCTCTGGCACAGAAGCAAGCAACAACAACATCAAGAGCTACCTTCTAAACGGTATGAGCCACCTGTATCGACTTGTCGAAGCTATGCAGGACATGATGAAGGACCAAGAGCGGGACTTCAACGATGCCTGCGCAGCGGACGAGGTACTCACCGCTCGCGAGTATATAGGGTCTAGCTCGGAGTATCTAGGCGAACTCCGGACAGCAATATCATCGAAGGGCCTTGGGCTGATCAACAAGCAATATCGCTTAGCTCGCAAAGCGATGCCGACTGGTAAGAATCCGTTCCCGGAGCCTCTTGGGGGCTGCAACGACGACTGTTCGGTCTCTGTCGAGCTCGGTATACCTTGTTGCCACAAGGTCTACTCGAGGTTAGGGTCTGCCACACCCTTCACTAAGTGGGAGGTCCATCCACGGTGGCGACTACGAGAGCCATCCTCTCGAGATCCATACCGACGGATTCTCGACCCCAAGATTGCCACTGCTCTCCGTGGCAGGCCCAAAAACACCACACAGGCTGTTCCAGCAAGGCTAGCCATCGGAGCAAGCAATCGGCAGAGTAGTCAACCTGCCAGCCAAGGCCGATCAAGGCGTAGGCGAGGTCGACCACCGGGTAGTCTAAACAGGTCGACTCTGGCCAGAGTGGAACTCGATGCGAGCCAACATGCCAGTAGCCAGGCCAGTAGCTCAAATCAGCGCCAGAAACGCAGCCAGTCGGGTATCCTTGGAGCGGGTAGAACTACAGGAGGAAGTGCCAGCGGACGGAAGACGCAACCCAGCATTCGGAGACGAAGGAGTCAATGGGAGCTGCTTAATAGCGACGAGGAGATTCTTCCTTCCATAGTAGTAAGAGGAGACATAGATAGCTGCTCTTAATATAATTGGCCTTATACTATAGGTATCGAAAATAATACTTTGTTTTGACGGCCGAATGCGAACTGTTCTAATAGGCCGGCTTGGTCCGGTTGCTTCTGCAGAGATCTGGGCTTGTTAAGAGAGCCGGCTTCACCGCCTTTTCTCAAAGGTATTTATGGGTCTACGAAATTTAGCCCAATCAGGTGTTACAAAAAGTCATGCCCCCCTATCAATTGCCTTCCGAGAAGGCCGTCTTGTTAACTTTGGTGTTTCTGAACAAGCCGTATTGGAGGACGAATAACAGAGAGCTGAACCAGGACATGAGATTGCATCGGTGCTCATGTCTATATACCCACAAGAGATGATGATATAGTTTCTTGGTAGCTTCTTCTGGCGGAAGCTCTAGTAGATTCATTCTGTCGGAACAATTTTCGTTACAGGACGTGGTACAGACTGGTTTCGTGGCCTCTCGCATGCTAGATGACCCGGGTGTCCCAGGTTCATAGAGTCGAAAGAGATATGTTGGTGTGTGATCATATGGGAACTTAGTTTCTTGCCCACCTTTTGGTACAAAAGTCAACAGTGCTGGAATGGGCCCCAGAGGAGAACGGATGTCTGGTTGGGTTGTGCCGAGACGGAGGAGTTGTGGAGGGTTAGTGAGAGTGAGAAGTGTTTACAGGATGGAGATTGGCACGCCTGCTGCCTGTGACTTTTCGAGATGGGATGTTGGAAGTCAGCCTAAGAAGAAAGAATGTTGAATTGGAACAATGTTGATTGAGATAGAATACAACAAGATTCATCTAGGCTTTATACTCGTACACTACATGGACAAACATACAACGGAAAACTTCCTGATATCGCATTTCCCACCCCCAACTCCCGCAAACTTGAAGCAAATACATACATAAAAAGGCTCCGGCTAGCAACATCTTTCTTCTGCGAATCTACCAGAAGCTGCACCATCCTATATAGTGCTGACACAGATTCTCCAGCTTAGTAGCCTCCATGATCAACTTGTTAACCTGCGCGATGACATCCAACTCCTCGTTATTCTTAAAATCACGACCCGTGAGCTTCTGCTGCACACGATCCAGCACCTCCACAGCTCGCGCGTTCTGAATTTCTACTTCGGGTGCACCGCCGTTTGTCATGGCTTCGCCTGCTGAACTGTTTGTGCGAGCGCGTGCGCGTGTCTGGATTGATGCTTCGGGGGCATTGAGGAGTTCGGAGGGTGCTACGTCGCTGTCGAGAATGGAGGCACGGCGGGCGCAGACACCGCCGGGGACAGGCATTGCTACGTCTCTGTCGGAGCGGAAGTTGGGGCCTGTTGGGGATGCGGCATTCGTTAAGCGCCATGTAAGGAGGGGATCATGAATGAACTGTGACTGTTGGTATGGAATCTTCAGCTTGGAGATGGAGAGAAAACTTACCGCTTCGAGAACAGCCATGACGCTTTCTTTGTTGTCGCGTAGAACTCTCATTACGTTCTCGCATGTAATTCTGAAGCTACCCTCAATATTGCTGACCCCCATAGCATAGGTCAACATGCGAGTGAGACGGAAAGGAACCCTCTCGGGGTACTTTTCTCTCTTCATCGCCACCTCGAAACAATCACCGAAATCGACATGAAGGATCTTTCCAGTGACACGATCAAGCTTCAAGTTGGAAGGATGACGATCACCCAGACCCAGAATATATCCCACCATGGACATGACACCCAGAGAGCGAGTGTAGTTCGTTCGTCTCTCAAGCCAAGCCTCAGAAGACTTTGACTTGAGCCAGAGAACACGGTACAAGTCTTGTCCGGTGGTGTTATCCAGTGCATAACCAAACACCTCGACTTTCTGCATCAAGGTCAGGTTATCGTAGTCAGGCGCCATCTGAAGCATGATGCGATGTTCAATATTGAGCAGAATCTTGCGGCTCTCACGATACTCCCTAATAAGAACGTGAAGAGTGTCGCTGTTGGGAAACCACCCGAGCAGACCGCTATTCTGCGACAGAGGGATGGCAGGGTAGCGCTGAATGTTGAGATGGCGCTTGAAGCATTCAGAGTCGTAAGCCAGAAGGGTATTGCATAGGCCGAACAGCTGCATAACTCGTTCGTCCTGGCGAATATCCTCATGGCCCTTTAGCAAGAAAGCGTACGACTTTCCGTCACTACCGTTGATGTTGAGCTTTCGTGGGCGCTGCTTAGAGTTGATAACACTAGACGTCGTATCGAAGGACATTATCCTTACGATGGGCTGTCCGCTCTTGTATGTTCCGGGAACTGCCAGGTTCAAGTTCTTGGCGTTGAGGAGCTTGGGCGAGCAGTACGTCAACTCCAGGGTGGTCACCTGAGGTAGCTGCCTACTTATTTTGCGGAATACCTGATAATACAGATCCCACGCCTGATTCAGATCGTTGACGTCTTGACTTGTCTCGTACTGTCGACACCAATCTTGCGCCTCCTTGAGGCCTCGGCCGAACGCTTGTGCGAAAGAGATCTCACGAAGAGTCTCGGGACCGCGCTCAAGAAGCTCATGCAAAGGCTCGAGTGTTGCAAACATACCCTCAATATTGTGATCACCAAAGTACAAACGCGAAGCCTCTTCCAGTCCCTCATGCCAGAGTTCATGCCACAAGACAGCTACACGAATCAGTTCATGACTGACCGTGTCAGCTTGGGCGACCAGGTTTGCGCTATGCTGCCGCATACTATCCATAATTTGAGCTGCAGAGCGGGATCGGCGTGTGTTCTGCCAAGATTTCATGGCGACAGTGAGGGGATAAACCAAAGCCTGCGGATGAGCTCGTCCAACATCGGCAAGAAGGTTATGCACTGACTGCTGAACTCGCTTGTTAGGCTGGTTGATTCGTGCGATCAGTTGAGGAATCACTTCGAGCCAGGTGTCGACGCTGACATTAGCAAAGCCTTCTGTAACAGCTGTGTTGACATCTGCGCTTCCACCATACGTAAACCAGAGTGTGAGCAGTCGGAGAGTATCCTGCAGCGAACTTCCCTGTGAGAGTGCGATAGATTTGAAGAAGCCCTTGACAGCCGGAACAACGTGGTCAATCACCATGTTGTGATCCGTCCTTGGCAAGTGTCCTTCGTTTCCAGCTGTGAGAGTCTGAACGATCTCAAAGTTGGCCAACGCCCAAGCGTGCCAGGCTTTGTACCAGCGAGGATTGTACTTGGTCGCCTGAGAATACGATGTGAGAATATCTTGAACCTGAGTATATTGCCAACCATCCTTGTCGAGCGCAATTAGCCATTCTCCCTGTCGCAAGTAGCATTTGGCCAACAGGACCGTCTGATCATACAGTGCTCGCTGAGTCTGTGGGCTCATGAGAGTAGGGTCTATCTGGTTCTGGAACCTATAGTCGCCAGTGATGTTGACCTCACCACCAGCTTGTGCATTCAGGTGAGCCTTAGCAACCTCCAAACGATGAGCAGCATCATTAGTGAACTTGCGCAGACAATACAGTGTCTTCTCGGGAATGTTGGCCTTCTTGTTAGCAGGCAACTGCTGCCCGAGTTCCCACTGGTACTTGAGCACAGCGTAGATGACCTGTGCAGCTGGTGCGTTCCTTGGACCAGGTCCTGGCTGTCGCTGTTCACTCCAGTAGGGAATCGTGGATACCAAAGGAGCGTCAGTTCCAATAAGTTGCTTGAGTGACTTCTCAGCCAGTCCCATTCGTCCAGACTTGCGGCAAAGGTTTGCAAACTTGATCCACATGTGCATATTCTGGGTCGGCGCGATCACAATGGCACGTAACCTGAGCATTCGCTGCCAAATCTCGACGTTCCTCTGACAACCTTTCAGTCGTGTCTCCCAGGTGCGTCTCATGATGGCCTGCTTCTTCTCGTCACATTGCTTGTAGACGATGAGCTCTTCAAGTTCAGCAAGCATTTGCACCCGAACGACGACCTGGTATGCTCGGTTGTACGACTCACTAACCAATGCACTTAACTCGGTATCTAGGCCTTCGCGAGCTTGCTGAACGCAGGCAATCGCCTCGCGGAACTGGTTGCGATGGAGTGCCAAAATCGCACCAAAGAATGATCGATCAGGTGAGTATCTCTTGAGCGATGAGAGATAGTTGTCCATGGAATCCCACTTGTTCAGACCCCACGCAGCGGCTGTCGCAAGCGGTGCAATCATTCTCTGAACCTCAGGCGTAGAGTTGGCCCAAGTACTACCGGTCAAAGAAGCCAAAGCCTCCCACTCTCCCAAAGCATGCAAACATCGCATCTTACCCATGACAATATCAACGGGTATAGCTTGATCCTCAGGCACCTCCTCCTCACGCTTATTATAAAACGCAAGTGCCTCTTCCCAACGCTCCAGCTTCTCAAACCAGGTTTCTCGCAGCTGGATGCCTTCCTTATATAACTGAGCTTTGCGGAGAATACCAATGGCAGCATCGGACTGTTGTAGCTGATTGTTGATAACGATCAGGGCTTCGACTGCACCGCTGCTCTGGTCTTGAAGGAACTCGAGTTCCTTGTAGTGCAAGGCCTTTGCATACGCGTGACAGCAAGCTGCCTCCCTGCCGAGAACTCGAATATCGAGCGGTAAAGACTTGTCGTCATGCTCCATAAACTCGGCGAGGTTGAGTAGGAGGCCAAGCAGATCGGGCGGGATGCTCTCAGATTTTATAGCGCTCTCAATGTTCTGGATGAACTCGTCCTGGAATTGTTCATAAAGCTCGCTCCAGCAAGACACGAACGCTGAGTTGAAGAGCTCACGAGCCAGAGGTAAATACACACTGGCGAGGCTGGCGCAAGCTCGAAGTGCGTGGTTCGGTGATTCGGTAAGCAGTGTTGTACTGAACCGTCGTAGCCACTCTTGCCAATCCTCCTTTGTGGATTTGCCTTTGGTATCCCAGGCAGCCTTCAAATGGATAGCATTCATCTCCAACTTCTTCGTGCCTTGATCCGCAAAAGGAGGCTCGTCTGCGCCATCGGCAAAGCCAGCACCAGAGCTCAAATCTTGTGGCAGAACCTCCCCCTTCTGAAGCTTGCTCACAAGCAGCTCGTAGTTGGAGTGCTGAATCTGGTGCTGATTGATGACCTTGTTGACAGTCCCCATAAAGTGTAGATAGTCTTTGCCCAGCTGTTGGATGAGCGCACAGAGCGTATCTAGAGCAGCAGTACGGAGTGGAGGTTCGCCCATGTCCAAAACACGCGTAAGAGGGTGAATGATTTTCGCAGCCAAGTCATTAAGATTCACCTGGCGAGAAATCTTACCGATTGTATCGATAGCCTGCTTCCTGATGAATGTAGGTTGGCCCTGCTTTTCGAACGTCCTGACAATGACGGGGATGATGAGATGCATGTACTCCTCGGCACTGGCACCAAACACCAAAAAAGCGTGCATCACCCTCTCCGACGGTGTTCGCTTGGCGGAAGTATCCTTGTCGAGGACACCAAGCAACAAGGGTAGCAAACCAGCGAGGTAAATTTTGAATTCACCCTCAAGCGACCTCGAAATGGCCTCTACAAGCGACAAGATGGTGGTCTGTAGTGATGGCGAGGTGTGCCAGTACCCCTGCAGAATCTCGACAATTGATGGAAGATAATTTCTTATATGTTGCCGCACGATGCTGACGAGAGTGGCCAGTTGGTTAAAGTAAGACTCGAGTCTCGTGGAAGTGGCCGATCGTATCACCCGGAGGAATGCCGGTATGATTCTATCAAGGAACGAAACACACTCCAAGCCCAGGGTGCGGAAGATGTTCATAATAGCTTCAATCACAGCCGAGTGGTGCTGAACCAATGAAGAGTCCTTCAAGATCTGGAGAAGAGCATTAATCACAACAGTCGGGAAGTACTCTTTGTTAGAGGGTGTCAGTCCGGTCATCATGAGAGAAATGTCGGTCAATTGGTTGGCCTCGCCTCGTCGGGAATCGGGAGTTCGTTCTTCGGCCTGAGTTGGTGTTAATAGCTGGAGCAATTTGCGCCATTTCGAAAGATTTACCTGGTGTTTGTAAGGGTCGAGTGCACCCAGGATACCCATCAGCTTGATGGTCTCCTGTCGCAAGGGCACGCGTTGTCCTTCGGTTCTGATGATACTCTGTAAAATTTCGAGCAGTTGAGGATATTCGATGTATGGTTGGATAACGTATCCTGAATTACTTGCGAGTTGTCCCAAAGCATGCAGAGCAGCCTCTCTTTTTACGTTGGAGCTCTGGTCCTGTAACGCATCAAGAATGATTGGCATCAATTTGTTCTTGTAAGGCATCATATCCTCGCCACCCACGGTAGCAAGCTCGCCAATGGCCTTGAGAATCGTGGCGGCAACCGAAGGGTTGTTGTCCTTTGCTTTCGGGAGAAGGACTGAGATCATGGGCTCAATGTATGGCTTGATAAGTGATTGCGCATTCTGTACCAGAAGGCTCAATAGCTTTGCGCTCTCCTCCTTGTTGCGGGCGACATCGGAAAGTTCGAGCTCCGTAAGCATCTGAATGAGAGTCTTTCGTAGTGAAGGAATGACATATGCTGGATTGTACCTAGCCAAGCGGCCGATAATGGAGATGGCCACTTCTCGAATGGAGAAAACTTCATCGTTGAGCGCAAAGAAGAGGATGCGAATGCTCTCAGCCTTGGCCAAGTGTCTGTCAAATCGTTCGTCGAGAGCCGCCAGAACTGTCCGCCTGATATTCGGTTCAGGATCTGAGACTCCGACCGTGAGAAGTTTCTCTATCACATCACCCACAACTTGAAGCGCATGGTAACTGGTCTGGTTGACAATCGGATCGCGAATGTATAATTGGCAACATGTTAAAGCCGCTGCCTCACGAATCTCTGGGTCCTCATCTTCAACATACTTGATTGCGACATCGCGGACAAACTCGTTCAAGACATGTCCTGAGAAATCGAAGCTACCAAGAGTGTTGAGCGCCAACTTAACCTCAGCCTTTCTATGCTCATAAGCATGGGGATCTTTTGCGTCTTTGGGAATAATAGGAACTGAGTTGAGGGTGTTTGGCTGCGGGGCACCAAGGGGCTTGAAGGGTTCGCCGCAGAGTACCATGCTGAGCATATCAAGTAGTCTCTCCTGGATTGTCGGTTTGACTGGAGGGATATAGAAACCCATGTCGACAAGGGCTTGTGTGAGCTTGGGGGTGAGGTCGCACGCAAAGATGGGATCCAGAAGTGCCTCCATGTATTTGCTCAGTGTCTGGCCGACAGCTACAGCAAGACGACTGATACAGTCAAATACCGGGTCGGCTGAACCACTCTTGCGAGATTGAACGCTGAGACCTTCTCGCACATAGATCAAGACACCATCGAGGTACGGAGCAATGGCGCTCTTGACCGAATTGGCAATGTTACCAATTGCAAGGAAGGCATCATTTCGCTCCTTGTCTTTCTTCAACATGCCCGATAGATATACCATGAATTTGTGTAGCCAAGTATGCGCAAAGTCAGCTGGTGAGTAGCTGGCAAGATCTGGGATCAGAAGAACCACAGTCTTTCGAATAGTGGGATCTCTGTGATCTTTGTGCTTAAAGACAATTTCACATGCTTCTTGATAATGTTCCTGCATGTACATAGCTCCCTGCTCGAGCAGTTCCTTGAGAACCAGCAACGAACCATGAATCGATTCGACCGTGTTGACCTTGAGACCTGCTTTCGACTCGTTGTAAATCTTACTCCTCCAGAGTTGCTTCATCTCCTGGTCTCGTTCGCGAAGGATTCGGAAGCAGGCGCTAACTGTTTCCGCCGACGTTGCCCGAATAAGCTGCCGGGTGTCTCGAAGTCCTATCCAGATCCAGTCGAAGATTGTCGGGATGTATTGATACATCAGTGTCGGGGCGCTTCGGGCCAATTCGCGCAGGACGAGGACTGCGCTGTATCGTCGCTCCTCCACGCGGTCATTCTGTAGCCATTCGAGAGCTGTGTTGACCTCCGAGTCCACCACTTCCGAGATCATTGATCCACCAGGTCGACATAGTTTTCCAAGCGCGATCGCAGCTGGTTGCATAGGGTTGATGTCCTTGCCTCGAAGGATCGTCTTAAGATTCTGTGTGAAACGCGTGTATTTGACACCGACGTCGACGCCTTCAAAATCAATGAGCGCATCAAGGGCGTAGATGCCTCCGAGTCGCTCGGACGAGTCGCTCCCATGTGTAATGAGCTGTGTAATCTTGTTGTTGACTGAGTTGTAGAAAGCCTGAAATTGTTCAGGGCTAAGGTCTCGATGACAAACAGCTACAAGCTCGCGAAGCTGTACGGCGGATCGTTTTCGCAAATCGTCGCTTGTTCTGTGGAAATATTAGGCCCCTTGCCCTACCAATCGTCACATGGTGAAACCAACCTTGATCGAAGACCGCGGGAGATTTGCTCCAGTCGCTCCAAGGCGACATGCTGTGCCTGCGCCATGATGCCGTCGCGGCACTCGTGTGTGAGTGATCAAGGGCACATGTACTCGAATATCGAATGCTCGATTGTGGGCGAGAGTTCTTCGAGGAGGGTTCAAGGTGGAGGGGGAGATCGTAATTAAGCGTCGAGCGTGGGCGCGCGTGCACGTGTCGTTTATTATGAAGGCGGCCAAGAATTTTCCAAGATATTAATACTGAGAGGAAATACTCAGCTTTTCTGGACGCCTTCGAGGTAACGACAGGGATAAATAGTAAGATAGGTGCGTAGCACCTGGGGAAGTTGAAGTTGGAGGTTGATGAGCTTGGGTCAGGCGGAGGTCATAGATGGATCGAGGTTTGGAAATGGCGGGCCAGCGGCGATCAATAGGCGGACGGGTACCCGTCCTTCTAAAATTAGACGGGTCCCGTCCCTGTTTCCCTATTTGGTATAGTTTTCTCCGCTATTGGATCGTCAGCATCATCACCCTTACCCTTGCAAGATCCCAGTTCCAGATTCAACTACGCGTCTGCGGTACGATGATCCACGAGTAATCGACCAGAGATACGTCCCGTTATGGGATGATTGTTATGATGCTTGTCGCCTGGGTGACGCGGCGCGCGTGTAGGGTTAATGGCGAAGCCGCATTCGACGCAAATTATTGCTGGCTCTGGCGAATTGTAGTACAAGCCCAGACTCTCGAGCTTTTGGAGCTGACTCGGCCGCAATGTGACAATAGCATCAGTGTACGTCGCGAGGCCTGTCATATTGATAAAGTTGAGAAGGCAGCAAGAGGATCGGATACCCTCTATGAAGCCACATTTAGCCAAGAATAAAGAGAGAGCTTGATTGCTGCTTCCTTCCTCCTAATCGACGCAACCGAAATTACTACACGCTCTGAAGTCTAAGAGCGCGGTCGTCTACATGGTTGGCACGGGCCTTCGAGGAAGAAACGCGGCGCATTTCGCGTTCTCGGTTTACAGGGCCCTGATGGAAATGCGCCGCATTTCCAGAGGGGAAATTCGGGGTAAGAAAATGGAGATTCTGATTGGCGCAGAAGTGGAAATGCGGCGCATTTCTGGTCTACATTCTTGAGTAGGGTATTTAACAATTAGGGGTATACTACAATTAGGAATAGAAGAGTAGGGTCATTCTCAGTGGGGCTCTGATCGGAACACCGCATCCGCGATTACGGACACAATGTCATTCAATAGCCAGCGTGTCTGCAGTCTGATCAGAATAGGGCCACAAGCCTGATCGAAAAGTGGGTTAATCAAAAAGAGGAGAAGTGCGTTTGGTTAGCGCTCTTTCAATCGTACCATTAGTGGAATGCAGGTCGGGTACCTGTGCCACGTCACGGGCTGGTTCTCGTATTGGGCCGCGATACGTTTACCTTCTCGCCTTGGTTCAGAAACTCGGGTTGATTTATCACCCTGAAACCTCAAAGTAAATTCAACATTAGTTCACTCTTCTGACGTCATAAAATGGCATACGAACATATTGATGGGGATCTTTCAGAAGTCGTTAATCCAAAATACATCGCCGCGGTCCGCACCCTCATTGAAGACAACTATCCACGGAGGGAACCGAAGAGCAGCAAATCTCCATATCCTACAGAGCATCTCGGATCGGAAAGTCTTTTATTCTATCCATGGAAAAAGAACGATGAGAAAATATTGCATCGCTATAATCCATTTCGTTTCAGGATCCCTTACAGGCTTACTGCATTACACAATTTTTTCGAGTTTGATCACACCATATGCTTGAACGCCTATGGCCTAAACATCACGCCTGCGGAGGAGCGCTTAAACTTCCTTAGAGAATATCATCTATTATATGCCGACATCCTCGAGGCTTTGAATGGAGATGATGATGCAGAGTCAAGACTTCGGACGAAAATCTACACAGACAGCATGTATCAGAGTGCTGGAATTCAGACCAGACATTTAAAACTTCCACGGACGGAGAGTGCTCACATCAATTTCCGACTTTCACTGCTCGCTCATCTGGCCCTGGATATAGTTAGATCTGATGAGGAAGCTATTTCCACCGCCGCTAGAGTTAAAATCTTAAAGCTGCTTTATAGTTTTGATATCGACTCCGTCGCCGCGGCATTCTCTGCTTACAACGAAGGCTTCTTGTTGCACCAGTCAGAGTTCGTGGAAGACTTGATTCCCAGATCGTTTATCAAGCATGCGACGGAAAAGGGGGGAACGCCCCAGAATGATCTTTTTATCCGAAATTCCACAATCCGGAGTATATTTCGCATGCAGCCGCTGTACGACCAGATCGATTTCGATGCAGGACTATCTACGCTACTCCACCACTACCAAGCTGAGACTGTACAGATCTTACTAAGTTTCTTGCGCCTCAACGTAGCAGTCGTGGCGCTGCCCAACAAACCCAGCTTCATGGGCGATGATTATGCAAAAAGAAACCGCGAATCAACAAAACTTGTCTTTCATTCGCTTGTTCAACTAAGCCAACTGGATTGGATACAGAAAAGAGAATTATTCGGTGTAAAAGCGAGCTACCGCACATGCACCAACGCTAGACCGTCTAGTTTCCAATCTCGCGTTGGTGCGACAACTGGAGTTGGAAGTGGAGTTTGTGACGAACTGGAATCTCTTTCTAAGGAGTCCTTGATCGCCCTGGTTCTCCAACACCGAGCATACATCGAGCGCTTGGAAGAATTGCTCCCAGCATTGACCACGAAGCCGACCACAACAAAGCCGTCATTCGATGATCCAAAAGGATATTTTCAGATATTTGGCCTCGATCCCAGGACTCCAGAGAATATCGATGAGATCTTGACCCCCTATTATCGCGCCTTAGCATTAAAATGGCACCCGGACAAAAATGGCGATAACCCTGAAAAAACTCAGAAATTTAAGAAGCTCCAGACCGCATACGAGGTACTTTCAGATCCTGAACGACGCAGTCGTTACTTGACTCTTGGTCGCTTTTAAAGTAGAGGAAGTTGAAAAACGATGTTCTATCAACTCAATCTCCATCGACTAGCGGACAACGCAACTTGGCCAACAAAGAGTATATTGGTTTGGTGTTTTTACATTTTTCAACAGAAAATTAGATTAATTTAAGATTGAAGTTCCGTGTATCATAGAGTTACAGCGTAATTCAACGTCAGTATTCGCATTCTAATATATAACGTTCTCTTCGCTAAGCCAAAAAAATGGCTAACACATGGATGGCTAACGAATATACGAAATACGATGAATGGAGGCGGTTCGGGGTTTGCCACATTCTGACCAAAGTTGCGGAAATTATATAGCTCTGCCAATGCAGATAGCGAACCTGAAACCATATACCTCTGTCATACCTACCTCGTGAGCCGTCAAAAGGGGATTGACAAGTGACTGAAGTCCGGAGCAATCCGGCCTAGACCGAACCCTTAATCCCTCCAACCTCTCCCATTCTTCGACGCCCCGGTTAGCGCAATGGTTAATTATGAACCTTTTTAAGTTGGTCTCAATCATATCAATAAAGTAGATAGCAGATTCCATTATAGAAAATACTAAGGGACTGAATCGGGCAGGCGATCGGCAATAATCGCACTATCCTAGATATCTCGCTGGGGTCTTATATAAGAGGTAGATAGTCAAAACTTCTCTTAAATCGCCTAATAGCAACGACCTGAAAGGCACGGATTAAGTTCTACTATTATTAGATATGCTAGGCAGAATTATTTTGTAGTATACCACCACACTCTTTCCAAACAATAATACGCCAAGAAGGATCGTAGTAAGAGAGATCTTCGAATTCCACAGTGAAAGGCGGTTATAATCTGCTAGTTATTGCAAAACATCGGCTTGTAAAGGCCGTTAAAAATAAACCTCGGATGAAAATCACAGTTGAAAGTTTCGATAATGTAAGAAAGCTAAAGTACGCGTGATTAACGCGACCGCAGACCGTCGATCAAAACGGGAAAGATAAGTTGCCATAGTATGGGCGTATGGATATAGACCGGAGATAGACATATATGTGCAAAGTGGACAGGGGTACACGACAATTAGGAATAGAAGAATAGGGATAAATTGCACTGCACGGTTCAGGTTGCAAGTTTGAAGCCGTCATAATGATCGTCATAGTGACTTGATTACCGATGGTAAGGTCTGAATAACGATTGAGCTTAGATCGATAATGAAACCATTTAGAGTATGCCATACTACTATAGCACTTTACGCGATAAGACGCGTCGCATTCTGTGGTAAACCCTTAACAAACCCCTGTTCTAATCAGCACTCTCCTTCCTGTATATAGGATAAAGTCAAATCAACTCTACACCTTGGCAATAATTAACCCTACTAGGTTTAAAGTGGGTCAATAAAATCAACTCTACTACCGTATTAATTGAATAAATTGGCCACGCCCTGTGGATACCGCTAGCTGCTTGGCGTGCAAGTTCTAACCGTAACCAATTAGTAGGCACACCAGAACTTGACCACCAGCCATCCTTCCCCGCTCCAAGATTTTCCTGTCAACACCACTCTTTCTCGGCAACCAGTTGTCGGAATGACTTCAAATTCGGTATGTGCATTCATTGATATTGTCTGTATGTGTGTGCAAAAGGGCAATTATTTTTATCCATCTAAAAAGGCTGTACAGATGTGACCGACGATTTCGAGAACGACGCGTGCTTCGAAGTGGGACAGACCTACCGGCTTGAATACCGGCTCCCCTCGTCGCCCGGTCAAGAAGAAGGCATTTCCCTTACAAAAGAAGGCTCCTATTACGGCTGGGTTAGAATAAGAAGTAGGAAGGTCATTGACGATGTCCTACAGCAGGGAAATAGGTGTTTTTGCAAGCCTGAACATAAGGGAAAGAGGTGGAATAAATATGACCCGTTGACCGGCTTGTATCGCGAGTGGCAGGAAGGGGAGGCTTTTTTCTGGGTTGATAATCAATTTGAACAGCTATAAAGCTAATCTACTGTAAATACATCCTCTTCAACGTCAATTTGCACTGTAATACAGTCATTTTGGGATCGTTCTTTAGCATAATACTGCTGCAACTGTTCCACAATATCGTCCTTCCGTCCCTTGACTGTGAGGCTATTCCGAGAAGCCAATTGCTTCAATTGAGGGATTGTCATCTTCTTCAATGAGTAAATTAGTATATCTTCATCAAGTTCATCCTCTGGACCGAAAGAAAGCTCCTCCTCATCGCAAAGACGGGAGACTAGCTCTTCGGACTTGATCGTGATCTCGGAAGCGGTTTCCCAGCCCGTAAAGTCGATTTCATCAATTCCTTTAATGCGAATAAGGTTATCCTGACTTCCATCAGGTCTCACGGTTATTCCGACATCCAGAAAAGCCTTTTCTATGAGGTCCTTCTTGGTTTTTAGGCGCTCAAAAGCTCGCGCAATAACCCAGGTTGTCATGATCCTCCGGTCGCTGACCGACCAGCGTGTTTTCCCTTTTCTCTCTTGTTCGAGCTCATAATCGAGAATTAATTCGCGAATCCAATCCTTTATAAGCTTATTAACTGCAGTATCGAGTGGCTGGAGCATTCCAGTACATCCGACAGGCACAAGGGCTGTTGTAATATTTTGCTTGCAGACTGCGTCTTTGACCGGAGGCGAAAGGTGGAAAGCAACAGCATCCATCACCAAAAGGAAGTCCCTCGTTTCCGCCTTCACGGTAGGCAAATCTTCTTCAACCCATAATTTAAATAATTCCTCATTATTGTATGCATGAGTGTTATATATCACTTTGATCCCCGGAGCATAGAGATGCTGTTCAGCCTTGGAAATCCTTGATTTCTCCCCAGATTCCCCATGGAATATGAGTGTAGGTTGCAATCGGCAGATTCCATCACCGAAGATATAGAGGATTAAAGTTGCCTTCCTCTTATCCCACCCACTTCGAGGGGTCTTTACCGGGACTGATTTGGCCCCCTGTAGCTCCCAAGTGCTTCCAGAGTCAATTGAAAAGGGTACAGGCGTCTCATCAACATTTAAGGTATACCGTTTTTCAAAGCGTCTTCTGGGCGTCTCAAGGATACTATTTATTTCCATTTTGATTAAGGATTGCGGTTTTGATGGCGATAATTGTTCATTATGTTGTATGCGACGGATGAATTTATTGAAAGACCCACAAACCTCTGCCAATGCCTCAGGTTGTTGAGTAGCTTGTTTAGTAACCCTCCTTTTGACGATGTTAAACCGCGATTTAAATCCTTGCCACCAGCCATTGGAGAATGTGAATAGCTTCACATGTTCCTTGGACAATAAGGATTCGGTGAATATCTCAATCGCCCGTTTCCGAGCCCAAGCAGTGGTGACGGGGCGCCCGTTCTTCCTTAACTCCATAAAATCGTGAAACAACTGCTTCTCCAGCTGTGGCCATCGGGGGAGATAGCATCGATTTGTAATTTCGGGATTATCCCAATCTTTCAGGACCCAGTTGCCGATAGTCCTTCTTTTAATCTTGAAATAGTCTGCTGCCTCCCTTTGGAATGGTTTCCTATATCCATTGACCGACCATGAGCTACTAGGGTCGAACACCTGATGATGATACATAAACATTACAACAGCAAGCTGCTTGGCCCTTGGATGTGACTCCTCTTTCCGTTGGATCGGGCGGGGAAGTTGCCAATCGCGATCTTGGATCGGCTTGGGCTTGCGGCCACGCCGCTTGGGTTGGGGAGGAACCAGGGGTTCATCCTCAGGTATACTTATAGAGCTCATCTCGGCGGTGATTTTGAGGTATTGCAGGTTTGTAGATGTCTTCAATTAACTACCAAAGCATGTGTTCGAAGATAACCTCCTCCAGGGCCGAATATCTTCAGCTTCACCTTCTGATATGTGCGGGGAAGAGCCGCATGACCTCACCTTCCGAATCAGGCATAACCCGCAGCTCGCGGTATCCACAGGGCGTGGCCAATTTATTCAATTAATACGGTAGAGTTGATTTGGGACTGTAATAGCAGCTTGGTGGGCGACATGAAAGGCAGGAAAGAACTCGGTCTTGGTAATATGGGTTATAAAGCATCTGATCAGATGCTCTATTTCTCGACCGTATGCCTTTTTCAGCGGCCCAAAGCACCCTACGTCAAGAGGCTGAAGTAGATGAGAGGCATGAGCAGGCATACAGAGCGTGATAATCTTGTTCTCCTTGCAATATTCCTCGAATTCGACGGAGTGGTGACTTTCATGACCATCAAGGATCAAGAGGCGATAGCGACTGTTCGTTCGCTTAGCTGTAGCCTGATCAAAATGCTTTAGCCACTCAAGGCCCAGCTTATTATCAGTCCATCCTTTCTCACTCAATGCAATAACCCAATCGCCGGGAAGGTCGCATTCTTGGTACCAATTGGCGAGGTGATCCTTACCTGCACCAATGATAAACGGCGGGATCGATTGGCCTTCCGCATTAATCCCCTCGATCACAGTAATCCATTCGCGGTTTCCAGGCTGTACTTGCTTTGGTCTTCCTTGCCTATAGGAGCTTGTAACGACTGTTCCGGGCTCAATTACGCCCATCATAAAGCCGGTCTCATCAAAGTTCCAGATATCATCTGATCGGATACCATATTTTGCGATTGTATTCTCTACGAGCCGAAACCAGCCACGAATAATAGTCGGATCTTCGCATTTAGCTCTCTGATAGTCATATCTCCGAAATTGACGTGCTTTTAGCTCTGGTTGTCGCTTAATGAAGTTATAAGCCCAGCGCTTGCCAACAGGTGGTATATCGCGGTTGGCACATAGAGAATTCGCGATATCTTCCACATATGATAGTCGCGAGGGAAATCCTCGCGAATCTAGGTCTAAAATGAATTGGACTATTATCTGCTCTTCCTGATCAGATAGTTTCCGTGACTTTGTGGGAGTATCATGCTTTGAAAGAATGCCATGCTGGCGGCGACCTAAGGTACTACGGTTGACATCGTAGATATTTGCCGCCCGTCGGACTGTAAGTTTAGGGTTATCTTGAAGGGCCTGAAGGGCAAGAAGGATTCTAGCTTCATTTGAGGACTGTGGCATATTTGTTGGTTGAGATATAGCTGATTGAATTATAATGTTGTAAGGTGAGGGATTTTTGGCTCACTTGCTTGTCTGGCTCACTCGCTTATCATACACGTTAATTCCTTTTTATAATTATTATATAATACTATTGACTTTTACAAGCTAACCATTCTAGACATATTAATCATTAATATATTACGCCGGTCTAAAAGCACCTGCCTCTCTGTTTCATCCTCAGTCTGGTCAAGTTGATGGTTTACCCGGCGGAGCAAATAAAGGGCATAAGTCAACTCTCTCTGGCGTCGAGTCCTCCTACCATCTGCCGCCCGCTGCCTGTTTTCTCGACGGGCCCTCTCGTCTTCCTTCCTTTGAGATTTGAATGCCTCCCAAACACTAAACAGAAGTGCGGTACTACCGATACAGACAGACACTATCTGATCCAGCTCCGTAATGCTAGTTGCACTCTTTGGAACGAAGAACAGCACGAGAGCAGCCCAGCTAGGCGATGATATAAAGCTCGTTGCTCCAAATATCCTAGTGGGGAAACTCATAGAGGCGAGAGTAACAAGAAGGGAGAGAGGAAGGAAGACCATTGAGACCATCGTCAGAGGCATCATGACCCTCTGGTCTAGACTGTCTGTCTCGCCTAGCTGGAGCGTTTCGACGGCCTGTAGTTGGTTTCCCCACATTAATGTAGAATTTATATCCCCAACTTGGCTCCTAAGAGTTGACCTTATATCCATCTCGAGCTGGGAATCTGCAGATTCACGATAGATTTGTTCCTCCGGAGTATCAATTGTGCGCAACCGCAGCCATAATACCATAATACCGAAGGCCGAAAGCCATACCCCCAGAAAGATCAGCAGTGATACCATAACCTCAAAGAAATTGAAGAGAAACGGCCGCGTTAGATTGCTGTCAGATACCCTGACTCCCCTTGTTTGAACAAAAACGACTGCCTCAGTAGAGAACGCTAGTAGTCCAACAACGACAACGGCAAGTGTGCGCTTCAGATGACCGTGGCACATCGAGATAAACACCAAAAGAACAGCGACCGCTGAGAATGTCTCACAGACGTTGAGGGCCGCCTCTGCAGCCGCTGCATGCTGCACAATCTGTGAATCCGAGCTGGTGAAGAGCTCCTGGGCTGGCTGGTGCTCTACGACGCCGGAGAAGAAAATCATGTAAATGACATGCCCAGCCGCAACACCTGGGACCACTAGAACGAAGATGAGATCTGTGTTAATGCTATCTTTTCGACGATACTGCGTGTTGAAACACCAGGTAACAAAGACGGATATCACCATGCAGAGCCACGAGGTGATGTTTCCGGGGCCGTAGAAGGAGGCGACTAGAGAGAAGCGTTCACTGGACACAGAGGTGTCGATCATAATGTCGAATACAATCCGATCTTGGAGTTGGATTACGCTGATAGTTGACCAATCTGCAGACTATGAAGACAAAAAGATTAAAAACGTGTAAGAAATAGGAATTCAGCGACAGCCTTACTAATTGTTCTGTTTCCGGAGCTCGGATAAACTTAAATCACTAGTATGTACCTACTGTATAAAGGATTATCTAAATCCCGCCTGAGCTTTTATTTATACTAACTTAGGTAATTTTAGATTTCTTTCTAACTTATTTCTACATCATTACTCCGCTCCAGATTCAAGTGAAAAAGTATTTTTACGCGTCCTGGTTGGACCATTACCCCTGTTTTCCTCTTTCACTTGAAAGAGGGTACGCAGTGAAACTGCCGCGGCTCCACTTTCGGTGACGGAGGGGCGCTTAACCGTCTGATTGGTGTTCAACTTCTAACCCTGTATTACCGATTCGCCTCAAAGAAGAAAACCTCCTGCCGCATTATCTCCTTGACTGCGCGGGGGCTACCATCGCGTACCGGACCCACCTTTTCTCACGTAATGACGAGGGTACAAGCGGGGTACGGAAAGGTCTCTGAGAAAGGAATTACTGCCAAAACACTATAGAAATCATTTTGAAGAGACCTATGACTTCTCAATCAATTCCCGGCGAGGCGCTTAACGCTTCTGATCCAAGTAGCTATATCACAGAGAAAAACAGCCGCCGTGAGCAGCCTAACGATGTTACGTGCCGACCGGTCTTCAACCCAGCCACAAGGTGCGGCGCCTACTTCCTCCCTATGGAGATGCCCTCTCGCGACCCTGTTATCAAGTCTCTGCCCCATACGCCTCTTGAGCTTTTCCAGATTTTCCTACCCTATTCCTTAGTTAAAACATGGGTTCAATACACCAATCGCTGGATTGAAAGCTTACTCCAAGACCGTCATTTAAAGCCGGCAGCCCGGCTTAAAAGCTGGGTTGAGACCTCCGTTGCAGAGGTATATATATGGCTTGCCATCCTGATTTACATAGGAATTCATAAAGAAGCTACGATCCATAGCCATTGGGAGACTTCTCACCCGGAGCATTATGCTCCTGACCACCCAATTCGCCGGCTTATGACCTATGACAGGTTTCAGCTTCTGCAGCGGCATATACGAGTCTTTAACCCGTTTAATATCTCTGATATACACCTTCCGAGGGTATTCCAAGCCGTGGATAACTGGTCTGAGCACATACAACGCGTATCTCTTGATTTATGGACCCCAGGCACGAATCTCGCTGTAGATGAGTGTATGACCCGCTTCACAGGAAGGTCCTACGAGACAACAAAGGTCCCAAATAAACCCACGCCTCTCGGCTTCAAGACTTGGGTTGCGGCTCAAAAAGGCTTCTTCCTGCAGTGGATTTGGCACCAGCCAAAGAAGAGATATGGGCCAGTTGCCCTGGTAAAGAAGAAGGACCCCATTCAGCTTTCTCGTCAGCTACGCAGTCAGAGAAGAAGTGGACTCTATACGCCTCTGAATCCGACACAAAGTGTGGTCGTTGCCCTAGTTAATAAGCTGCCCAAAGCCAGATATCACGTCTTTATCGATAACCTATTTTCCTCTGCAAATCTCTTCACACATCTACGAAGGCTAGGCCACGGGGCTACAGGCACAGCCCGCCGCAACTGTGGTATTTACAAGCCCTTTTGTCACGGGCTGGGCTCGGTATACAGGTGAACGGGGAACGCTTCAGGCGGAATATGATCTATTGCTACGGATAGGCACTGCAGGCAGGTCAGGCTCTATTGACAAGACGTAGCTCGAGGAGCTACGTTCAGGAACTATCTGGTCGGTAAACAAAGTCTCTGCGATAACGTATCGCCACGTGATCCGGATCTACCTTGTTAGTGGTCTAGGGTAGGCCAGTCTGGTCTCGAGCTGTGACAGTACCCCCCTCTCTAGCATCGAGCTCTGTCGAGATGGGTCACTGTGGTCCAGGTTTATCGGGATACCTCCTGTGGAAGTTAGCCACGACCTCGGCGGCGTTCTCCACGTAGTCTGCAGGGACTTCTGTTGGGTCTGCGTATCCAGCCCATTTCACAGTATACTTCAGTCTAGGACGGCCTCCGCGGCCGCGTCTGTCCCAGCGGGAATCCACGATATCTTCGACTTCCCACTCCTCTACTCCTTCAGCTTCGACAGGCGGCGGCGGGTCTGGATTCTGGCCCGGCAGCGGGTCGGTAGCGGCGGGCTTAAGCAAGTTTGTGTGAAATACCGGGTGTATCTTCATACTGGCAGGCAGTTCCAGTCGGTAGGCATACGGGGAGATAACCTTCGTGATCTTAAGCGGGCCGATGTTCTTCCAGTCTAGCTTCTTCTGCGGTCTCAATGTCTTGATGTTTCGGGCGTCTAACCAAACGTGATCTCCTTCACGATATTGTCTGGCAGGTCGTCGGTGACGGTTCGCTTGGGTTTCGTAGCGGGCTTGCGCGGCTATACTCTCGGAGCGTAGGTATTCGAGTATCTCATTCATTTTTTGCGCGAACTTCTCAGCGTCTCTTGTGGCAGGTGTTCCTTTGACTGTAATTGTAGGCTCGAAGCCCATCCGCGGGTTGAATCCGTAATTCGCGAAGAACGGGGACATACCGGTCGTCTCAGACTTCAGGGAGTTCGCAGCGAACTCGGCCAGAGGGAGCCATCGGCTCCAGTCATCTTGTAAGTAAGATACATAGGCTCTCAGGTACTGTTCCAATATCGCATTTAAGCGTTCTGTCTGTCCATCGGTCTCGGGGTGATAGGCGGTTGATAGCAGCGAGTTGATTGATAGCTGCTGGGTAAGCTTCTTCCAGAACTCAGCCACAAATTGGGGTCCCCGGTCTGATATAATTGTATGTGGGAGGCCATGTAGCTTCCACACCTCTTTCAGGTAATAACGGGCGGTGTCTTCTGCATCACAGGTCCCTTTACAGGCCATAATATGTCTCATCTTCGTGAGGCGGCAGGCTATAATCAATATGGCGTCGTGTCCTTCGCTGGGCGGCAGGTGGGTGATAAAATCCATTGATATGTGTTGCCAGGCTCGTTCAGGTACCGGTAGGGGCTTTAGGACTCCTTGCCTTGCCTCTCGGGCAGGATTGGCTCTTCGGCAGGTATGACAGTTCTTAACCCATCGTTCAACATATGACAGCATTCCAGGCCAGTAGTAATCGCGGGAGAGTAGATCATAAGTACGGGCGCGGCCTGGGTGACCAGCTATAGGGTGTTCGTGGCTAGCCTTCAGGAGTGCGGTCTTCAGAGGGTCGTAATTCGGAATATAAACGCGGTCTCGGTATAGCAGTCGGTCTTGTATTACTTTGCATTCGGCAAGTGTGATCTTCGGGTGGCGTGGGGCTCCTTCTTCTAGGGCTTGCAGTATCGACTGTAGATCTTCATCGGTCTTGTAGGCTTGGTCTAACAGGCGGCTAATGTCTTCTGGTAGCTCTAAGGAAAGGATGGGTTCCTCTATTGGTATTGAACCTTGTCGGTGCGGTTGTCGGATGCGGGCTCTCTGGACCTTTAACGGTGGAAGTTGCCAATTCTCCTTCTTCAGGACTACTTGGCTCTGGTGCGCCAGGCGCTCATCCCCCTCTTTAGGGAGATCCTCTGACCTCCTGGTCAGGGCATCGGGCTTAACTCCTTGTTTCCCTGGTCTATAGGTGATCTGGAAATTAAAGCGGGACAAGAATTCAGACCATCTAGCCTGCCTCCTATTCAACAACTTCGTGGTCGTGAAGTACTCGAGGTTCTTGTGGTCTGTAATAACTCTGATAGGTGAGGGTGCTCCCTCCAGTTCAGGTCTCCATTCTTCAAAACAGCGGATAATAGCCATCAGTTCCTTGTCGTAGATCTCGTAGTTACACTCTGTAGCAGTGTGCTTCTTTGAGAAGAACGCCACCGGGTGTAACCTTCCTTCGTTATCATACTGTGAGAGTACGCCTGCTGAGACATAATCAGAGGCATCGGTCTCAAGGATCACGTCCTTGGTCCAGTCAAACGGGCGTAGAATTGGTGCCGTTATAAAGGCTTCCTTTAACCTTACAAAGGCCTTCTCGCAAGTATCGTCCCATATAAAGGGTACATCCTTGTTTGTCAGTCTATTCAGGGGTGCTGTGAGCTTTGAGAAGTCACGGATGAACCTCCTATAGAAGTTCCCGAAGCCAATGAAGGCTTGTACATCTGTCAGGCAGGTCGGTGTTTTCCAGTTCTTAACAGTCTCAACCTTCGCGGGGTCCATTCTGATGCCTTCCTGGCCCACGATCAGGCCCAGGAATTTCGTCTCTTTCACTAGGAATTCGCACTTCGATGGGTTTGCGAAGAGCCCAGCGGATCTCAGCCTCTGGAGCACCAACTTGAGGTGCTCTATGTGCTCCTCCCGGGTCCGGCTGTAAATCAGGATGTCGTCTAAGTAAGCTGTACAGAATATATCCAGGTGCTCTCGCAGAGCGTCGTTAATATAACGTTGAAACGTTGCAGGGGCTCCTGTCAGGCCGAAGGGCATGACCAGGGACTCATATAATCCGAAACGGGTCCGGAAGGCCGTGAGGTATTCTTGGCCCTTCTCGATCCGGAGGTTGTTAAAAGCGGATACAATATCTATGCGGGAGAAGTACTTCATGCCGGACAGGTTGTTCAGGGATTCCTTGATCAGGGGTAACGGGTAGCGGTCCTTTACGGTGATATTATTCAGGGCCCTGTAGTCCACGCAGAATCGTAGCCCGCCGCCTGGCTTCTTGACAAACAGCACTGGGGAGGCGACGGGTGAAGAGCTAGGTCGGATGAATCCTTTGCGCAGGTTCTCATCGAGCCACTCTCGTAGAGCTGTCAACTCTTCTCGGGACATTCCATATAGCGGGCCGAAGGGCAGCTTCCCTCCGGGTATCAGTTCAATGTGGTGATCTCCGGCTCGGTGCGGAGGTAGCTTCTCTGCTTCTTTGGGCGAAAATACGTCCTGGAACTCTCGTAGTTCCTCGGGCAGTCTCAGATCCTCACTCTTATTCTGTAATGCTCTGTCTATCTGTTCCAGGGTGACAGTGAAGAAGCGACAGCGGGTTCTCCGGCTATATAGTCTGACAGCTTGTA